TAACTTAATTCGCCAACCTTCCACCAACTTTGCTTTTTCTTACTAAGGTCACATATATGATGAACTCCTTTAAACTAATTTAATAAAATTAATCCTTAATCAACATACACATTGCAAAACTAGAATTCGTGGAGAACAGTTGTCTACTTTTCATAGGATTTCCTGTAAACCAATTATAACACATAAAACCAAATATTGTTACAAGTTCGAGAACATTTTATATTACCTTCGGATGTTGTTTAATTTGTGTATCTCTAGAATCTTCGATTGAGGTGTATTCCAGTATAATACGTTACTTATTTAACTAATATGTTATTGGTGTGTCTCTAAAAGAAATCCTCAAATCAATAAAGATTATTAATGTAAAGAATATATGTAATAAATAAATAATACCACACATTTTGATATTTCTCACAGATTTATTTATATTTTTTTATGAATTTTCTCTTTGTTATCAGTATGCTAAGTAATCCTTGTTAGCAGTATATCTACATTACACAGAATTTGAACATTTTCCCTCCATAATGACTATGATTCAGAAGAGGAAAAAAAATGTCATCCTTCACCTATTTGTTTCATCGACTAAAAAATAAACTGAGTAAAAGAATATGTTTTTAGTGGATTTTAACTATTTATTTATCGGATGTTAAGAACTTTTTTTTTCTGACAAAAGAAACTAATTTCAATTGCCAACACTTTCAGTTTTATTTGGAAAAACAAAGCTGCTGAAAGTATGCGGGGCGGCCATGGGCCTTGTCCAGAGCTGTGAAGTTCCAGGGCCCATGGAAAAAGAAGGCCCAGTATTAAAAAAGATATAATTGTCCAGTAAGTTTTCATACATGAACTAAGTTTATTAGTTTATTTGTGTTTTTTTTTTTATAAAATTAAAATGTAATGTATAATTAATAAATATTATTTTGTTGGTTTTTAGCTTATACTTATGTATTATGTGTATAAATCTATGTTGGATGAATTTTTAGCTTATTCTAAATATATCGAACATAATAAACTTATAGTATTTATTTTTATAACAAGATAAAAAAAATCATATAACAATTCATATTATAAATAAAAACTAAAACTTAATGTATATTTTTTTATGTGTACTTCATGAAAGAAAGTTATAAATAAATAAACAAATAAAACTTTTTCCTTCATGTTTTTGTGAAATGTTTTTAATATAAAACTTTAATTTAAAAATATTTCTAACAAATTTTAGATCGTGAGAATTTTGTTTTGATAAAAAATTAATATTCTTAGCATTGGATTATTGCAAAACTTAAAAAAAAAAATTAATAATCTACCCCATTGGTATAGCATGGTTTAGTGTAATTTTCTGTTTTCTAAGAGGTACACATGTTATTTTTTTATTCTTTATTTTACTTTTTCTTTTTAAGTCTCTAGAGGTAATTTTGATTTTTTTTTTAATGAACAGGTTTTTAAAAGTATGAAGTATAAGTAAATTGCGTGGATTATACTTTTTTGGTAATGTGAAATAAGTATTTTGATAATTTTTAGAAATGACAAAATTAAAAGAAAAAAAAAACTGGACAGCACACTTATGATCGATGTATTGGATTAGAATTTTAAAACAATATTTAACATTCAGCTAATATTTTTCACAATTTATACAAATTTCATTAACATTTAAAAAATATATAAAATTTTGATGAACTATTCCTTAAGATATATTCCAATAGTATCCATGTTATTTTAGTAAAATCTAAAAATATCATATTCAATAAATAATGTCATCCAAATATCATCCTTTACCCTTTATTTATATTTATACTTGTCATTTTCTTTTTATTATTATTTGTATCATCTAATAACTTATAAAATATTATCTCTTATCAAATAAAATATAATTATTTGTATTATATTAATTATTAAAATAAATAACTAATGTGTAAAATTAATTATTATAATATTATACATTTAAAAGGAATAAAAACAATATGATATATAAAATTATATAAAAAGTAAAAAAACAAAACAAAATAATTTGTAAAAAAAATATTTAAAGACCTTTAATAATATAAAAAATGTATTATTATGATTAATAGAGGATAACAAAAAGTTTAATCTAATGAATTGGTTTAAAAATTCAGGAATTATATTGGAAAAAAATGATGTAAATTTAATAAGACTTATTTACTCCACTCATTTGGATCATGATCTATATGGATTTGAATTAGATTAATTTATAAGTGTTTCATAAAATAACAATAATAATAATACTTTATTAAATAAAAAATAATTTTACTTCATTAAATATATATATTAAAATTCAATTTGAAGAGAAATTAACTTGAATATAAAAGTAATGAAGATCAAATAATTATGAATTGTTATTTTACATAATTAAATTACTTAAAAAATATATGATAATAAAAAATAAATTAAGAATAATTTATATATTAAATCATTTACAAAAAAAATTATTTATATTATTTATATTAATATAATTTAAAATATAAAAATATGTTATACTTTTATTTTATTTTTTATATAATTATATTAATTTTATTTTTATTTTTAATTATCATAAAAGTGACTCTAATCCGTTAATCCATCATAATATAAAATTAAAAAATATATATATATATATATATATAATTAATTTTAAAATATAAATGAAATTGCACGACCAATTTTTTTGCAATATATAATTTGGTTAGGTTTAATAGCTGGTTTTTACAATCTTCTGTTTTTTTTCATTATAAGTAAATTTTTTTTATGGAACATATAAACATTTATGTGTATACCAGATCACTTATTTAAAAATAATTTTTTTTTAATAAGTTTTCTTTGATTAAATTAATTAAAGGAATTGTCATCGTTACTGTTATCCCACAAATACTATAATTTTAAATCCGAGCAGGTAGGGGAAAATGATAATCTATAATAAAAGGATTTGAAACTATAAGATTTTTTTTGGAATGGAATTCAATTAAAATTTCTTGGATAACACACTATGCACAATAATTACCTCATTAGCACAGTTTTTAGGAATGGTTGGAATTCGGCTCACTGTGAAGCTGAATTCTAATCTTCAAAAATTAATAGAATTTTAAAATATAATAATATTTATTAAATATATATATATATATATATATAAATATTATATATATATATATATTTTAAAAATTTGATATATATGAAATAAATATAAAATATAATTTTTTATATAACATAAAAATATATTTTTATAATTATATTATTAAAATACTTTTATAAATACAGAAAATACAAATATATTGAATATATATATAATATTTAAATATATTTTTAATACAAAATAACTTTTGTAAGTAAAAATAATATTTTTTATAGAAATATAATAAATACATTTTTATTAATATAATATAAAATATTTTTAATATAAAATTATATATAAATTTTTTATTATATTTATATATTTTTTTATAAATATGATAAATACATATTTATATTTTGTTATATACATTATAACTTTATTAAATATAATATATAATAAATATAAAAATATACTTTTATAAATAAATAATAATATATATATATATATGATAATATAATATTTATATAATATTGAAGTACCGATTGACCAAACAACAATTATCTTATACCGATCACAATGTATATTTTAAAAGACTATTTTGAATCTTTAAGCCATGTATTGATGATTTTCGATATTGTAAATCACTAGTCCAAGTAGATGAGACATTTCTATATGGTAAATATAGGGGCATCTTATTACTAATTGTTGCACAAGATGAAAGGAACAACATACTCCCCATTATTTTTGTAATTGTTGAAGGTGAAATTCATCGAACACATCACTTTGAGGAGCATGAGAAAAGAGATTTTATTAGTATGTCCCTATATTTGTCATATAGAAATGTCTCATGTACTTGAACTAGTGGTTTACAATAACGAAAGTCATCAATACATGATTTAAAAATCCAAAATAGTCTTTTAAAGTATAATTTGTCATCGGTAGAAGATGGTTATTGTGTGGTCAATCGGTACTTAAATATTATATTATCATATATATATATATTTATAAAATTATATATTTATCATATTTATAAAAATATATTAAAATATAATAAAAATATTTATATATCATTTTATATTAAAATTATTTTATATTATATTAATAAAGATGTATTTATCATATTTCTATAAAAAAATATTATTTTTACTTACAAAAGTTATTTTGTATTAAAAATATATTTAAATATTATATATATATATATATATATTAAATATATTTGTATTTAATGTATTTATAAAATATTTTAATAATATAATTATAAAAATATATTTTTATGTTATATAAAAAATTATATTTTATATTTATTTCATATATATATATATCAAATTTAAAATATATATATATATATATATATATAATATTTATAAATTTATATATATATATATATATATTTAATTTATATTTAATACATATTATTATATTTTAAAATTCTGTTAATTTTTGAAGGTTATAATTCGGCTTCCGCGAGCCGAATTTCAACTATCCCTAAAAACCATGCTAGTGAGGTAATTATTGTGCATAGTGTGTTATCCAAGAAATTTTAATTGAATTCTATGTGAGATTGGAAAAAAAATCGAAACTATAATTACTTAACTATTAATAATTAAAAAAATGTACTGATTTGCTTTTTATTTTTATTTACAGTGACTTTTGAAAATTTTACATGCTTTCTATAAAATTTTATGAAATTATTTTGAATTTTCTAAATTAACAAATCTTTTACTTTTTATTTTATTTTATTTACAATATAAGTTTGTTAAATTTTTAACTGAAAAAAAAACTTAATTCTAAAAATAATTATAATAAATTAATTGAAATATTTCCATTTAAACCGTTACATGAGGGAATGCAAAGAGCCAGAACTTCAGAATTTGATACTTATTGCTTAAGATGTTGGATTTGTAGAGTTCACATTCTCATTTGCTGGGAGCCATAAGGGACAGAAACGAAGCAAGAGGAAATGGAAGAGGTGATAAGGATACGACTTGTAGAGCCAGAGGAGGAGGAGACCCCAATTACACCTCTCGTCTGTTTCAAAAGAGAGGACATGAAACGTTTTGAGGAAACTGAGGAATGTTTCATCTTAGACTTTGACCCATATGACTCGTTCAACTTCTCCAAGGTTTCCTTGAACGACAAAAATAGCCACCACAGTGATGCTGCTCAAGATGTTCACATTGTTGGTGAAAACGGTAAGGTAAATACCCCACAAAACCTGCTTCACATAATAAAATTTTACTTCATTATACATTATGTATTTGCTTGAGTGGCTATTTAGTTCGCTCCCACTATTATTGTCGCTGAATGGATTGAAGGGTATGTTTTGGTTTGGAAGGAAAGTAGATCCTGCACAAAAGTTTTAATTTCTGAATCAAACGTTTGCGAATAGTCGCTACTGATTTTGTTTTTTGACAAATTTATAGGTAGCTTGCAGGGATTACCCGCATCCAAGACATCTGTGTCTTAAATTTCCGTTTACTACAACACCACATCGGAGCTATTGTGAAATGGTAATATGCGATTGGATTTGCTGTCTTTAACTATTTTTTGCTTGTTCTTGTATACCTAACCTCTCGATCACCACTTGTTCTGAAATATCCCTGTGGTCAAATGTGCAGTGTTACTGTTGCGTATGCGATGAAGCTGCTCCTTGTAAGCAGTGGACCCGATTTACATCCCCACACTGTGATGCATCTGCTAGGGATGGATATGCTACTGAAGGAGGAGCCGAATACCTATCTGATGATGAGTCTTGGTTCTAGAGTAGGCTATCAAAGTATATTTTGCTTGGAAATTGGTAGAATGTAAACTTAAATTTTTGTTTTAAGTTCTATTAGACGTGGCTGATTGTGTAAGTGTTGGGTATATTTTATTATTTTTTATTTAATTGAGATATTTTTTATTTAAATTAGGTATTAATAGATTTTATTATCTCATAAAAAAAGAAATAAAAATATATTAGATTATTATTTTGATTTCGGTAATAATATCGATATATTATTAATATTTGATATTTTATAATATTTTTACTTTATATATACATACAAGTATATAAATGAAAAATATACTCACATGGTATATTAAAAATATATAAAAATTTTCATTAGTGATATTAAGAGCTTTGGTTCGAGAAAATGGAATGAGAAAAAACCTTTTCACAAGTCGTTATTCCAATTTTTTATGGCGAAAGTTATGACTTAAGAGTTGTTAGAATACAATCATATCTTGAAGGATTTGATGTATGGGAAGTCTGTGGAAAAAGATTATATTGTTGATTCGCTACTTGAAAATCCTACTATAACTCAAATAAAATTTCACAAAATCCTACTATAACTCAAATAAAATTTCACAAAAAAAGAAAAACGATGAACACAATAACTAAATCATCATGTCTCGTTGGTTGGTATTTCACAAATGATCCTCACCATAATCATGACGCTAAAGTTACCTAAAAAAATTTGGGATTATTTAAAATATTAATATGAAGGGGATGAGAAATTTTGAGGTATAAAAGTTCTAAATTTAATAAGGGAATTTGAGATACAAAATATGCAAGAGTCTAAGACAAATATATGAAACATCTATTGCTTTATTGAAAAATACAAAGGATTTGTATAATATTACTTTGACAGAAGTGATACATACTTTATAAGAGCAAGAACAACGAAGTTTGATGAGAAGATATCATGTTGCTGGTAAATGTTCTTTACTATATCTTTTTCTAAGTCAAAACCAATGTTATAGATGATAGAGTATAATGAGTACTTCTCCTTGCATCAACATGCTCTACAAATCACATGTTGTCTTATAGACAGTGTTTGTACAAATTACATGACTCATAATCGAGAATTTTTCAAAGAGCTCAACGAATCACATATTTCTAAAGTGAGAATCGGTAATGGAGAACAAATTATGTGAAAGTGTTACTCAATTATTGGAGAAAAGTTATAAGGTGTCTTTTGAACAAAAACTGTGTGATTAAAGATATAAATAACTTGGAAAAATTTAAAGTTTACGTGAAAGAAAAAATTTCACTTTAGATTTGATGAAAGAATAGTTGATTACAAACGAGAATATAAAAGAAAAGTAAAAAAAAAAATCAAAGAAAAAACATGAAAATATTTCTTAAAGGAACTTGATGTTAAGGAGAAAAATAAAGATGTAGATGAAGAAATTATTTCCAACTTTCATGAAAGAGTCAACGGTACTACTATGAAGTTTGAAAGAAACAAAGGAGATGAAATGGATAAAGGAAGAAATATGAAGTGTTGAAGTTTGAAAGAAACAAAAGAGATAAAGTGGATAAAGAAAGAAATATGAAATTTGAAAAAAACAAAGGAGATGAAGTTAATAAAGGAAGAAATACTTTAACGAAAAAAGTCAAGTTGAATAAAAATTTAAATAAATAGATATTAAAGTAAGAAAAAATATTGAAAATATTATTTTATTATTTTTTATTTAAAGTAGGCATTAAGAAATTTTATTATCTTTTAAGAAAAAAGATAAAAAATATTAGGTTATTATTTTAATTTAGACGGTTATGATTGAAATATTATTAATATTTGATATTTTGTAATATTTTTATAAAATATATTAATAAAAAATATATCCTATATCAGAAATACAGAGAACAAAAAATTTGAGTAAGGGAATTGGATACAAAATCAACTTTAAATTTTGCTTTTTCTTTTGGTCTAGTATAGAATCAAGTCTATTTTCTGCAGATCTCTTATCCCTTCAACTTTGCTTAAACCGTTCCTGCCAACTTTAATTATTTAGATTACTCGTAATAAAGTTGAGAATCAAAATTTAATTTCTACCAGTGGGTGTATCTAATGTTGCTACATATGATAAATATATCTACTTATACATAACTTATTTTTAGAATTGAATAACTAATAACAAAATTTAATTTTATAGCATTAAAAAAGAGAAATAAAATATCATTAAACTAATTACTCCTGTATTTTACAATAGTTAACTTTTGGTGTATTTTTATAACTCCAACCAATTTATCTATGGAGGTTGGTGCACCATCTCTGTTTTAGACTACAAACAACTTTTTATATATTTATGAACATACTTAGTTTATTATTCGTTGTCCATTTTGTTTTCAAATATATATTAGAATGAATGATCCAATAACCATTAATAAAATATAAAAAATATCCATGATATCAATTAACTAAAATTTTGAAACATTTTTTGTAATATACTAAAATGCTGGGGTGAAATTTAGCATCAGAAGTAAATTTTAATTCAAACATAAATTTTATTGTATACGATATTTATATATAAATCATGATAAAATAATGACATAACATAAAAATAATGACATATCATGGAAAGTAAGTAACAGTGCTTAAACTTATTGAAAATAAAAACATTAAATTATTTTTTGAATGATACAATATTTACATTCAAAAATAGACTTAATTTTATAAATATTATATTTTAAAAAAATAATTAAATTTTTTATTAATTTATTTATATAATTAAAGTTTAATGGTTTATATATAGAATTTAATTATAAAAAAAAATTGTTCTGAAAATTATTTTTTTTAATATTTTTATTAAAGAAAACAGTTTTTTTTTTTATTTCTCTTCTCACCTCTTTATTTTTTCTTTTTTATCACTTATCGTTTACTTATTATTTTTTACTTTACCTTTTATTGTCTTTTAATATTTCCTCTTCTTTCACTTTATTTTATTCTTTTAATTAAAAATACTATATTAAAATTTGATAAAAATATGTTAAAGTATTTTTTTAAATCAATCATAAAAGTAATAAAATATTTATTTGAAGTACTTTTTATTAAATATTTTTTTAAAATTAATTTGAGTAATCAAAACAATCTAATCTAATTATAACTAAATTATATTACTAAATAAAAATAAATAATTTTAACTCATAAATATTTAATATTTTTTAATTAAACGGGTAATTAATTTATTATGATTAAATAATTTTAAATTAATTATCTATTGTTATCATAAATAAATTATTTATTATTATAATTTTAAATAATTAGTTAATATCTCATTTAATTTCAATATTAATTTTAAAAAATATTTTAACATATTTTTACTAAATTTAAATATAATATTTTTAATTAGAAGAATAAACAAATAAATAAAGTGAAGAAAAAAGAAATGAATAAAAAAATTTAATAGAAAAGAAAAAAAATTAATGAATAATAAATATTTAAGTAAATTTTTATGACATTAATTTTTAATTTACTCACTTTATTTCTATATTTTCTCACATATGTTAATATACAGCATGTAATTTTACATTAATTTATGTGCACAAGTTAGTAGATTAATTAACTTTACCCTATGTTTTCAATTAAATCAACAAACTATAAATCTTTGTTTATTAAAATAATTTTTAACATTAAATAACCTTTTAGTTAATTACCAAAAACACAACGTTGACCGTATATGATGTGTCAGACATTATGATAAAAAAAATATGAGATTATTTTGTAGTTTTTATTATTTTATGATGATTTTAATTAATTATTATAAAGAATTTGACACCTTTCTTTATAATTTTATTACACTCAACTAAGATGGGCCGAAGACAAGAACGGCCCAATGAGGTGAAAACCCTGGGAGCTGAACAAGGAACAAAAGAGTTATCCCTATCTATATCTATCTACTCATCATCGAAGCTCAGTGATCAGCACAACCCACGCATAGAGAAACTGCGAAACCCCAATCCAACCCTCTCCGACACGCTCAACCATGTCTCCAGGTCCCGTCGTCGACGCTTCCCCTGAGGTTGAGGCGGAGCAACAGGTTCCCCCAGTTGATGACGCAACTCAGAAGAAGCAACCCCAACCGCAGGTTCCTCCTCACTCATTATAGTTCTCATCCTTTTCTTTTCTTAATTTCCAAATATTCGATTTCACTCGTGTCTGTTACTGATATTTGGTGTCTCATTCCCGTGCGTGAGTTCAGGATGACGATGCTCCCGTTGTAGAGGACGTGAAGGATGATGACAAGGACGAAGGTGACGACGATGAAGATGACGATGACGACGATGACGACGACAAGGAAGACGGAACTCAAGGTGATCTTCTCTTTCATGCGATTACCTTTGTTTATGTCTTAACCTTAGGAAACCCTTATTTGGTATATTTTTTTTTTTTTGTATTGTTAATAAACCCTATGGTTCTAATTTATCAACTTTTCATTATTGGGTTTCCATTGTGGTATTACAAATTTTCTTGGGTTTGGGTATAGCTCTTCACCTATCTCACTTAGTTATGACTCCCTGGGTTTTGTACACAGATTGACATATAGATTGAATTTTATTCTGGTCAAGTTATCAGTCTGGAACGACCATAACTAGATCTCTCTAATTATAAATGTTTGTGTATAGAAATGGTTGTTGTTTGGTAATCTTTTGGCTTTTATTTCTATGGATTTATATTTGTATTGGCTCTGGTTGTTAGTCTTTGAGGATTGTTGTTTTTTTCTTTTTTCTTTTTTTGAGTAAAATCATTCTTTTTTCTTTTCACGAGGGTCTGGACGTACCCTTATCCTTTAGGCCTTAATTAATAATGACTGTATCTGAGATACACGGATTTCTGATTAGGAGACAGTAGGAATTAAAAGGGGAATTGGTAAAACTCTGCATTAGTTATCACTTGGTTGGTTGGATTTGATGTGCTGTAGCATGAAAAGCAGATCTGAGCTAGATTCAGTTGTTTCTAATGACCAATGCATATCCGAGGATTAGCAGAGGTGACTTGGGCATAATGTGTTGTCGTGGTGGAGAATGACATTACCATCAGCCAAAGGTGGACTTAGTAATATATGTTACTATTTGCATTAATTTTCACTGTCAATTAATTACACAAGCTTGACATTCATCAAAATAAAATTTTGATGTTCAATCTTTATATATCCTAAGGTGGTCTCGGTTTTGAGTCTCAAAGACAACTAGTTAATTTTCACAGATCTACTAGCTCCCAAAGGCTGCTTCTGATCACTGAGCTCTTTTTTCTACCACCATTGTCTTGTTTGAGATTCTTTTTATTGATGTTGAACTTCACATCTAAACTATATTCAGCATCTGCCTTTTGTATTGTTGAATTGTTCATGAAAAAATTACACTGTATTAGCTGTTTCAGTGTTGCCAAGTAAATAACTGTCACAGTTTTTGAATAAAGGGTTTTACCTAGAGAAATAACTACATAGTTACGCATTGCTGCTTGTCCTCTGCTTTAGCAGCCATGTCTATACTCTACTTGTTTGGCTTGGTATCTGTTGAACTTGTTCATAAATTTATTTTATTGGACTGGTATGCAGGTGGTGCTGAGGGTTCAAAGCAGAGCAGAAGTGAGAAGAAAAGCCGAAAAGCAATGTTGAAGCTGGGATTAAAACCTGTTACTGGCGTTAGTAGGGTCACAATCAAGAGAACAAAAAATGTGAGTCATTATATTTGTTGTTCTTTTCTGTGATCAATCTGGAGGATTGAGAGCCTATAACAAAATTATTTTATGCATTAGATTCTTTTCTTCATCTCAAAACCCGATGTGTTCAAGAGTCCAAATTCTGAGACCTACGTCATATTTGGGGAAGCAAAAATAGAGGACTTGAGTTCTCAGTTGCAGACACAGGCTGCCCAACAGTTCAGGATGCCAGACATGGGATCTGTTACAGCAAAACAAGATCAAGATGCCGCAGCTGCAGCAGCACAGCCTGAAGAAGAGGAGGAGGTTGATGAAACTGGCCTTGTGCCCCACGATATTGATTTGGTGATGACACAGGCAGGAGTGTCAAGAAGCAAAGCCGTCAAGGCACTAAAGACTCACGACGGGGACATTGTTGGAGCCATCATGGAACTCACTACTTAATTGGGGTTTATGTTCTACTTGTATGTTTTTTGCGAGATGATATTTAGAACTAGCGCCAAATGTCAAACCGAATGAACATAATCAACCGAATATTAGAACTATTGCGAGATGATATATGTGTGGTGTTTAATTTGTTTCATAGTTTTGTTGCGTTTTTGAAAAATTCGGGTCATGGTATTGTTTGACTAAGTGTTTTTAGTACTATTATTTAGCATTTGTAACGAAGAGATGAATTGAAATCCTCTATTGAATGCTTTGAAATTTAGAACATTTACCAATCTATTTCGGAACCATGTCTCACTTTTCAACAGAATTTGTTGGGAATGATTGTATATCTATGCCCACCCTGTTATAGGTTGAAACGTATCATTATAGCTTGGAATTACGGTCAGGATTTTTTGGTTTGATGTCCCACTTGGTTAAAACAAATATAACCATGGACTATTGTATTACCTGTATAATGATTTGTTGCATAAAATAATATATATATATTATTATTATACTTAGCTCTATTTTTTTAGTACAGGTTAGCTATATATACAAATAAAAATATAATTTTTAAGTAATTTTAATATATTTGTTAATTTTTAAGTAATATTTTTATCAGGTTAATATTTTTTTTATCTAAAATCTTCTAAATAACTTACCACTATTTTAATAAACAAGATTAAAATGATAAAAGGAAAATTAATATAATCTTAAATTTTATAAATAATCATGTATAAATAGATTTTTTTTTAAAAAGTAACTATTAAAATAAACAAATAGTATTCAATTTCTTGAGATTGTGTGCAAATCAAACCTGTGCTTGAAGGTGAAATTCTTGAACAAAATGTTGTATTTAAATACAATGTTCTGGTAACAAATTTAGGAAAAATAAAATAAAATAATGGAATGCGAAGTAAACTGAAAATCGGGGTATTCACATGTTAAATATTAAGTAATATTACATTTAAATTATTAAATATTTAAAATTAAAGGAGCTAATTTTATATCCGTAAATTTTAATAATAATTGTTTTTAATTTTTTTTTAAATTGTAGATACACAGTATGAAGCAAAATCTCCTATTCTAAGTAAAATATTGAAATTGTGTTTTTTGAATTGATTTATTTAAATAAATATTACAATAATTTAAAAATATTCATATTTACTTTTTTTTATTTATTTTTCAAAACACAACACAAGGTTGAATGAAATTATGTTTCATGCTTTTTATCATTATTTTACTATTTTACATCTTTATAGGTACTTAAGAAATAAAATGAATTTACAAAATTATGCGTAATATTTTATTTTATAATTTTCATTATTATTTATTTTGTTTAATTTCATCTCACTGTTAAGAAATAGTTTATTATATATATATTAAATCACTTTTTATTTCAAATTACCTTAAAATGGTAATACTAACTATATAGGATAAGTCTAAAATATCAATAAAAATAACCATTGCTAAAGGTGGTAATAGTTTCTTAGTAATATTTTTAGTTTGTCGGTATATTTAGTAGGACCTACTTAATCCGTTATTTGTGTGGGATGAGATAAATGGTTCCATTTACTTATATATATATATATATATATATATATATATATATATATATATATATATATATATATATATATATTATAGTTTATAATTTAAAGTATCATAATTTTTTATTTTATTATTAAAACATGTAAATAAACAATATAATATTATAATTTAAATTATTTAGTATAATTAAATATATAAATATAATAATTTTTAATTCACCTAATAACAAATATTAATTAATAAATAAAAAATTTAAAAATATTTACATATTAAGTATTTTTAAAAAATATATACAAACTTGTAATACAAAGATAAAATAAAATTGACACATCACCTAATCAACTCTTCAACGGGATCAAAAAGGTCAATAACTCTTTATTATGATAGGTTAATGCATCATTTTTGACAAACCAAAATGAGGTGAGCCAAAACAAAACTAATTGACCCAATTTTATCACCTTTATTATCACTATAATCACGATTAATGGTCTCGATTTATTTTAAATGGAGTATGGAAACTTGAATTCATTGAGGAAAAAAAAAACAAAATTGCATCAATTTGAATATAATAAATAAATAATCAAGTAAAAATGTATATAGTGAATTTTTGTTAAATTTTAGGTGTAGGTGAAAATTTTCAGTAAAATATAATGTTATTCATTAGCATGTTTAAACGATTTATTTAGTTTAAAAAAAGATAAATATAATATTAGGTCAACAAGAAGAACAAGTACGTAGTGTTACCTGCCAAAATAACAAAATATCTATTACTTCACACATCTTTAACTCCAATATTATATACTGAATAATAATGTTATCATTTCCATAAATAAGCTTGATTCAACCACATTAAAAAAATAATATACATATTAAGTCTACGTTATAAGAATTTATTTTCATATTTTTGTCTTGATAAGGTTGAGGTACGGAAGATCACATGAAAATGAAAATTTATTATGAGTGTTATGGCATAGTCAAATATTAATCTTTTCTTTGAGTTAGTTTTTTTTTTTTAGTTATTGATTTTTTAAGGTCTTCGTCCAAGTGCGGATGAGTATCAATGATAAAAATAAAAATATTAGTAAAAATATTTTGACTTTAAAATTAGTGAGAAAGATAATGTGTTTACAAGAGTGATTGAGATAAAATTATATTATTTTTTTCATAAAACTTATAATACTGGTAAGACACATGATTAAATAGTATAACTCAAAGTTTCATTATGTAAAAAATTATCATAATTAGAGTCATTATGATACGATTACTCATATAGTTATTTAAAATGTGGATGATAAGATATTCAAAATTTAAAAAATTTGATCATAAAAGGAAAAAGAAAATGATAAAATTTGTAAAATAATAACAGTTAAGCAGATAAATGCGCAACTAAAATAAATACTACTTACACATTAAGTTGAATAAAATGGTTCTTGCACAATGAAATTGAACTACATGTCAACAATTATCATTTTAAAAATAGTAAAGATATAAAATATGCTACTTTAAATGTTATTGTCACACTAATAAATGTCACATTCATTTATTGTATTGGATTTTTAACCTTTAGAAAAATTATATGGTATACATTAAAAAGATTTCTAAAGAAATTTATTTAATTTTACAACGAAATGTGTATATTTAAATATAAAAATTAATAATATAATTATTTTTTAAATATATTCATAATGAGCATAAAATTATTTAAGATAAAATATTTTGAAAGATAAACTAAAATAAAATTATTACTATCAAATTAGTTTGTTCTAATAAACTAAGAAAATTTGTACCAATATGATTATTTTAAGTATAAAATACTGATTTTTTAATAACAGGGAAATCTTTTAACATAAAATAAGTTGCTATTATAATTGGTTAGTTTTCTTTTTGGAAAAACTATTTTTTAACAATAAAACATTGAATAGCAAAAAAATAAAAATAAAAATAAATATATATATATATATATATATATATATATATATATATATATATATATATATAAAGTTATCCTACGAATTAAATTAACATTCTTATGAGTTTATGCTGAATTATGCGGAATGATATTGGAATATGAAATACACTTGTATCCATAATTTATGTAAAATACTACTACTCTCTTATTAATACTAACTTCTCTTATTTTATTAAATAAGGGATAAATATAGTTATAAAGAATAATAATTAGTCTATAAAATTTGACACCATTAATAAATAGTCAAATTCCGTACTATTAGAATTCAATTCACTGCGAAAGTTTAGGAAAAAATTCTTTGGAAGAAAAATAAGTTTACTTTGATTTATATATTTTGAACAAAAAAAGTTTTGGATGATTATTACTTTTATGATATCTTATAATACACACACAGAGCAAAGTTATAAGCATTTTTTTAAGAGTGTATTGAGTACCTATGTAAAGTATGACATATCTGAATTTGAATAACATGATTATTTATTTATTTAAAAATGTTTCACTTTCATTAGTAATTTTTTTTGTTCAGATGAATATAAAAATACAATATAAATTTTTTTTGGCTAACTTTTATTCAACATATAATGAGAAATAATATTATAAAATTTTAATTTTTAAATATAGAGGATATTTCTAATATTTATCTTTGTTTTTATTTTATATATAAAAATGATATATATATATATATATATATATATATATATATATATATATATATATTCTAAAGGCTGTTTCATTCCACGTCTTCGTATTTTTTTTTTTTGTGTATTTTGTGTATTCTCGTACTTTAAAAAAAAATTTTTACAATTACAACTATCTTTCTTTGAATCAGGTGTTACAAAAATTTATTTAGGATGGATTGTTTGGGGAATGTATTATGAACTGGTTATTTTGAAACTCATTTTGAAATATCTAATTTGTAATATATTTTTGAACCCAATTTAAAATTAAGTTCCAGGCATTTTTACTACACTCAATTAAAAAATGGGTTCTAAAACAACTAATTCAAAATACATTTTTGGATTGAGTGTTTTAAAAATATATTTCATATTAATTATTCTGAAACTCACTTTTAGATCTAAAAATATATTCTAAATTAAGTTGTTCAGATTTTTATGTACATTTTCAATCCAGGTTTTATAAATATTGGGATAGATATTCACAAAATATTAACAATTTCATCCTTATAGAGTAAAAACAATTTTTAAGGAAGATGGAAGGACAACAAAACCAATATGAGAAAGTTGTCAAAGTGGAGAGAAGCCCAAGAGTGAAAAAGTTTTTTAAGGCTTTTTTTTTTTTTCAAACAAAAATTAATAAAAAAATATTTTAGTCATTTTACACCGAAAGAAATTACGTCGATGGAAAAAGAAGTAACCTTTGTTATTTAGAATATGGTCAAGGGATGGCAATGAAGGCCCAAGGAAAAGATGGGCTGAAGAACCCGAAAGCCCGTGAGGCGAGGAGGGTGAAGGAATGAATAGCGGAAAAAGCGTCTCATCGTCGAATCTATCGTTTCTGCGTTTCTATCTTTCAGTTTCAGTGTCTGTTGAGTGTGTTTGTTCACTGACACAAAAGCCATGTCTCCGGGACCCGTTGTTGACGCCGCTGCCGCCGGAGCCGACCCACAAGTCCCTTCCGGCGACGACGCAACCCTCAAGAAGAAACCTCATCCCCAGGTTCCTCCATTTTCGTTCCATTGCCTTTCAATTGTTCACTTCACTTCCTCTCTAATTCGCTTCCACGATCTGTTTTTTCTCAGGAAGATGATGTGCCCATTGTTGAGGACGTCAAGGACGATGACAAAGATGAAACCGAGGACGAGGACGAGGACGAGGACGATGACAAAGAAGATGACGCCCAAGGTCCTCCCTTTTCCTTCTCGTATCCTTATTTCGTAATAACTACGTTTTCTGTTTCGTATTTTTTCGTGTCACTGTTAACATTTATTAATGGATTTAGTTGTATATGGATTTACAATTTTACATCTGAGAATTATGGATTTTTTAGCCTTTTTGTATACCATCGTTTCAATGCTAGGGTTTCCTTTGTTGACAATGAGCTTTATTTGCTAACGTTTCACTTTGTGTGGTTAATATTTCTGTGCTTAGGGTTCTTATATAATTTTGAGATTTATCTTTCAATGAGAAAAACAGAGTTTCATAGGCAGGCATGACTCTGTTAAAAATAACGAATGAGAAATCATTGTTAACTAAGAATAACTTTCAAGGTAGTTATTGTAAAAGTTATCAAACTTACCCTGCATGACACTATTTATTTTTAGTTGAATTGAAAGTTTAATAAAGCTTTATACTATTGGTACATGTATTATCTGTTTCAAAAGGATTGAAGTATGCAGTTGTATATTATTTTGCAGTGTCAAATGTTAGGGTTCCAGTTAAAGGGTTTGACCTGAAGAAAAATACAATGTGCCTCTCTTGGATTTGATTAATGGACTTTTATGATGCAGGTGGTACTGAGGGTTCGAAGCAGAGTAGAAGTGAGAAGAAGAGCCGAAAAGCAATGTTGAAGCTGGGACTGAAACCTGTTACTGGTGTTAGTAGGGTCACAATCAAGAGGACAAAGAATGTAAGCCATTGTGAATATTGTTATTGTTTCTTCTGTGATCTATCTACGAGGTGGATGGCTTTTAACCAGATTGTTTTATGCATTAGATTCTTTTTTTCATCTCAAAACCTGACGTCTTCAAGAGTCCAAATTCTGAGACCTATGTGATATTTGGGGAAGCGAAAATAGAGGACTTGAGCTCTCAGTTGCAGACACAGGCTGCTCAACAGTTCAGAATGCCAGATGTGGGATCCGTGCTGGCAAAACAAGATCAAGATGCTGCAGCTGCAGCGGCACAGCCTGAAGAAGAGGAGGAGGTAGATGAGACTGGTGTCGCACCCCATGACATTGATTTGGTGATGACACAGGCAGGAGTGTCTAGAAGCAAGGCTGTCAAGGCCCTCAGGACTCACGGTGGGGACATCGTTGGTGCCATCATGGAGCTCACTACTTAATTTCAGATAATGTTCTTTTTATAGTTTTTGATTTTTGGGGATGATTTTGGAACGTGTGCCATCCTTATTATTTTTCTGGTACTCAAACCATATATTGGCTTCATATGGTTGTGTTTACCTTATAATTTTGTTGCTATCTAAGATCTGTGATACTATATAATGATCAATGGTCATATTATTTTGTTGTTTTTACTCATAATAGTCTTAATAGAGAGCTCCAGTCATTTGCCCTTATAAAGTTTAGAGTTTAGACCTGAGTGTTGCATGTTTAATCTCTTGATATATATAGTTCGTTTATTGGATCCATATCTGGAACGTTTAAAGGCTCGTGTCCCAGACCTTTGGAAATGGGAGACAATGATCTAGGAATTTTTGTAGTCTTTGCCGATATCATGCTTGGATTAAATTGAATTAATATTAAAAATATAAGATGCCATTTGTCCATTTAAATGTTTAAAACAGCAAAAAACATATTAAAGTAATTACTTATAAATGTATTTAAATGTCTAATATGCTAATTTAGCATTCGTCCTCAGCAATATCTAGCTTGGGTAAAAAAGTACGTTGGTTGTTGATAGCGATGCAATGTGAGTCTTGGCATACGCATAAAAGAAAATTGATTTTGGTAATGTGAGTAAATGCTTGATACACACGACAAGATATCAATTTAAAAAAAAAAAAAGACTATGATTCACCGACAGGGGAATGCCAGTTACGCGGACAAAAATAAAATAGAACAGAAGCAATGTTACTTGTTCGGTAATCAAGCAGGAAAAACCCTCCACATGAAACGTGGCATAAAATTTGTAAATCTTCATTTACTACAGATACTCGAGGCCCTCACCACTATTGCCAGCTATTTACCACCCTGCAATTTGTTCTAATCTCTCCATCATTACCTGTTAAGACACTTATTTGACCCATCTTCACCATAGCACCAGCAAATTTGTTTGCCCATTGATAGCCATCCCTGGCATTTTGCTTCACCTGGCTGGCTGTTTCAGCATTAGTTAGGAGAGTCTGGTCAGACGTGAACAGACCTCGGTTTGATAATATGTCAACATAGTACCCTACATCAGCAATTCCAGGACTTGAAGGGTTCATTGGAACCACCAAGTTTGTGTTTGTGTTGCCTTGTGGACATTGCCTCTTCAGCGGTGCTGCATATGAGGGATCTAAACTAGGATCCTGACTCGAAGTGCTACTGAAATTGTATAATCTATTGCTGAAACTTGAGCAATGAGAGCGGCCAATGGTATGTGCTCCTGCGTGAACAAAGTACATGCCACTAGCAAATTTAAGCTATAAGCAAAGCATAAAGAAGAGTTATTATATCTTGAAGCTCTTGTATACCTGAGAGGGTGACCATTTCATCTTGCGTTAATCCCTTCCTGGCGAAGAGTTGAGTGAGTTGGTTTACATTGAAAGTTGGAGGAGGTAACTCTGTTCTTGTATCTGAAGCTAGTGAGATTCTGCCATCTCTTCTACCTGCTGGAACATCATAACCAAGCCCTCCAGCCTGCATGATGCAAGAAATGATATACGGTCATTTTCTTGCTTTCAGAAATGTTTCTAGAACAAAGTACAAACACTTACTAACTCCACACTGTCCCTTGCTGCAAATGCCACAATGTCAGCACAAGAAACAATTCCTGGACATACTGCCTCAAGTTTAGCCTTGGCATTATCAATGACTTCATACCCTCGAAGACTTGGTTTATTTGCGGGAGAGTCTTTCTCTGCAGTGTTTGAGGGAGTGGAATCAAGAAGTACTGATGCATCACACCCCTAAAATTAACAAAGCGGTTAAGTCTTTTACCGAAGAAAGATAGTAAGTAACAAATTTTACTGTTAAGGGCAATGTATAAATATCAAATGGCTTCAAATAATGACTTACTCTGATAAAGCAATCATGAAAATGCATTCTTACAAGCCCAGCAGCAATTCCAGGATTATTACGAACACTTTTTCTGACTTCATCCTTTACAATGAACTCAGCCATGCCACATGAGTAGCTGTAAAACCCAACCTGCAGCTCACAATGAGCATTTTGATTCAACAAATAAACTGCAAAAACTGTAGCTATAAATTTAAGCATTATTGACCTCATTTTCTCTAAAAGATTGTTTTGCTTCTAAGTAAGCTTGTTACATAATTGTAGCCTATTTATACATGAAAGGCAATGATTAAGAGGATTGTTCTGCCCTTAGTGCCAAGTGATAGGGCAATAAGCTGGAATATTATTATAATTTGATCGTCAAGAATGCAAGTGATTGGAGAACTATAAGAAAGGACAAGGAGAACAAGTTATAGCACACTATTATTGTAGTGGTTTGATAATGTCACTTCTCAAGATCTCACGCGGTCATAGAATGAGAATACGTTCGTAAATCGATTCTAGTTGACTTGAGTGCACGTAATCCAAATTGGTTGTTAAAGTTGAATGGATTAGTAAATATAAATAATTGAATAAAAGGGATTGGTTACATAATTTACATGCTAGCGTGGTAGTTGTTACAGCAACTTTTAAATTCCTAGAAAGAAGGCATGGATTAGGAAGAATGATTTACAGATTAAGCATTTAATAACCAAGATAAATTGAAGAAAGTCACATTTTAAGAGTAGTTATACGTTCTAAACCATTATCTCTCGTGAATTGATATGTCCTAATGGGATTAGGTGTAACCTTGACTGTTGAAGTATGGTGGTCTGAACTTAAACCTTAAAAAAACAATAGTTTGGAGTAGCATTCAAATGTTTTTGTTCATTCAATTAATTTATTACGTATTTTAGAAATACATTAAGGACGGATCCAGATATGTTATCGCCACTCCTAAAATTTTGAATTTCTTTTTTACTTTTGTATGTCAAATTTCTTCTTGGTTCCTATTGGAAGAAAAAAGTTATAGTACTCCTTAGTGCAGTATTTTACGTATACCGTTGAATAAAAGACACGAGTTACAATGAACAATCTTCATCTGAAAGTGAAAAACAAAGCTGTTAATCTCATAGAAAGACCTGCTAGTAAAGAAAATATCCCTAAATATAAGAAATATAAAGTTAAAGGTGTCAAATAAGATCTTTCATGCGTAATCTCGAATATTATATGTTGCTACATGTAATCATCCACTTAAAATTCTCTCCATCAACACGAAAGCATGATCCTTAAATAAATTTTGTTAATAAACCATATTGTAGTATATCTTTTTGAACATCTTTGGCCGTCAAGTGTTTTTGAACTGCAGCGATAATAATTTCGAATTGCATTCATGTATATTGAGAACGTGATCTCTGGCAGTACAGTTAGGTGCATTCTATTTGGTACTAATACTTTTAGAAAATGTTGCTAAAATTCCTTAAAACATTTGGTTTAGTCCATTATAAAAATAAGAAAAGTGTACTCCGGAGAAATTTGGTTCAATTTTAAAATTAAGGGGAAACAAAAACTCAGGTTTGATGAATGCAATGGGAGTTTGACCCGTTTAAAATACGTCCTTTATAGTCAATAGTTCACTGTAGTAAAATGCCTTCAAATACTTGAAATCCAAAATACTAGTTGTGTGACAGAAACTCACTGCCTTAAGCACATGCATTTGTCCTTTAAAAGAATAAAAGCACAGACATTTGTCACAACAAAAACAAGTCACCTGATGCACAAACATGTTATATAGATTATATATCACAAATGTATGTATCGCAAGTGTCAAAACCCTTTTGGGGCAAAAACAAAGGCTCCCGTCCTATTCATAAATTCACACGTTGTTTCACAAAACAGCATTTTATGTGATCAAACCAAACAGCTGCTTTGGAAAGTAACAAGTGAATGGAAATCAATTTTGCTAAGTAACTCTCAAATTATACTATGTCGAAAAATTCTTTGAAAGAAAAAAAAATTTAAAAAATTAAGATCCCTATGCATTCATTTGAAGCAATTTGGCAACTTAATTTTTGTATCACTTGCAATTATTTATAAATATGTGCAAGTGACCATGCACACATTAATAAACAAAGTCTGACATCGATATATACAAACAGAACAACGACTGGTAAGACCAAATCCTGTAACACGCACGTCTGATAAAGTTAAGAAGAAAATCTAATCCATAAACATAATTCAGTCGTATTCTCAAGCATGAACTTTTATTGAACCATATAACCAACTTCTTTACGGTTTCAAAATCGGCCTACAAGCTTTTCTCCACATGTTCCCAATCAGAAGAGAAGCCATCAGAGAAATAGTTAGACAGTTGAAACTCACTAGTTCTGCAAGGCTGAATTTCTTGACTGTGCTCCAAATCCTGGTGAAACTCCTCTGGGATTGACTCGCCCATGGCAACGTAGGATTTGAGAAGCACCAAAGCAGCAGGATTTTCTTGGACATCACTTTTACCCTTAATTTTTTTTGAAATTGTTGTGTCATCCATATCTTTGTCATCAGATCCAATTCCATCTAATTGTTTCCCTTCTAAAGAAATAGAACTTGAACCTTCATGCCGAGATTTAAGAATATGAAACCTAGCCACAACAGATGCCTCATAATCAGTAATATTTTTTTCCGGATTAGGGGAATCTTGGCAGAAATTGACTGCATTTTGATTATCACTCCCCCTAGGTGATGACTTGTCAGCCATGTCTAATGGTTCCTCTGGATTGGTAGTATCAGTGCATGAATGGTCAACCCGGGCTTTGAGAACATGGTATCTGGCCGTAACAGAAGTTTCATCATTTCTTTCAGGCTCCTCATCTGAGGAGGAAACAATAAAACTATCAATGGAGCTATTTAGGTTCTGACGGTCTCTTCCTGCAGGTGTCATTGCACTAAGCTTGTTCACATCCGTAAAAAAATTCAAGCAAGATAGTCCCTCTAGATTCGAAGCATCCAAGAGGGATAATTTAAGGGCAGATGAACCAGGGTTTGGATAATTGTGCACTTTAGTTTCTGTACTCTGATTTTGGCTCAAAGTCGGAACAACATGAGATTTTGATTGACTCTCCATCTCTACAACATTGTATAAGATAAAATAAAAATAAATAAATTTCCAGGTTATTTATCTAGGATGTTTATAAGAATGAGTGAGATAAATAAAAAAATGTCAACCTTTTTCCTTGTAAGAGTGATTATCCATTTCAATCTTTATTTGATTATAGCGAGCCTTGTAATAGACGGAACATAGTTCAGCTTCAGCCTCAAGCCACAGATTCTTATATAACGCAGTCTGAGGATCTGCTCCTTCATCATTATGAAAATTCTCACCAAGAGTTCTCTTTAGATCCTATCAAAAAGTATGTCAACGGTTATTAAATATTTCCCTTCAGCTGTGATTTTCCCTCTTTCCAATTGAAAATATGTATTAATAAACAGAGAGAAATAAAACTATCTGAGATACCTTAGTCATGTCAGCAGTCCTTCTTGAGGAAATGGAATCCGAAAGCTTTTTCTCAGACCTGAAATGCAAGTTTGCCTCCGCAACAAGTGGATTCTCAACCTTAGAGCTCTCTGGTGCTATCTTGGTTAATTGTGGCCTCTTGAAACTTGCATTCTGAGAATAAATTCAGCGAACATACATAAGTAATGCAGGGCTAACAATTTGTCATGCATAAAGAAAAACACAAAATACCACCTTCACTATCTTGAAAAAAAAAATGCCTATCTTTATTCCTTCTACAAAATGAACCTAAATATGAATTAGGAGAACGCTTACATGCAACTTCAAAGCTTTGCATATCTTTTCTCCACCAGTTACATTTTATGCAATATAAATGTTAACATTTTGTTATTTGTTTCCTTCTGTTGAAATATAGTCTTGTGTTTTATTTAAAGTTTAAAAATTGATGAATGTGTAGAGTAGTAGATATATTTGAAAACTAAACTGGATACAACGTAGTTGATTCATAATCTGTCTTTAGAGGACAGTGCCTGTGCATAGTGAAACCAATTCTATCCTCTTCCAAATCCCTGCAAGCACATTCCTCTACCCATTTATTCTCTTAATTTCATTAATTACGTGCCAGGTAAAACACTCTTTATTCATTAGTATCCCAAACACATGACAGGAAAATCACATTAAAATCACTGCAAGCACAGGTACATTCTCATATAGCCAAATTATAGCTAAATTTTTATCATCAACAACAGAGGCAAATATATATATATATATATATATATATATATATATATATATATATATATATATATATATATATATATAAGTTTTCAGTCAATCAAGTCATGAAAAAGTGTTTACTATCCATCATACAGCTTGATTTGTTATTGAATGTAAGAAACAAGAACATACCTGATGCAACTCAAGCGTATCTCCAGCACAATTAAAAGTTTCAGGCTGATTCTGACTGAGAAGACATTCCTGTGCAGGGGCAGTTTGTTCAGCATTCTTTAAAGCACAAGTGTTAAGATTATTGATCACATCTTTAAGGACATTGTAATCCCTCTCCTTCAATTCACAGACATCATTTTTGCAATGGTAAAGAAGCAATTCTGATAAATTTTGCATCGTATCAACTATCATTTGGACATTTAATTTTGCAGTTGTTACTTTCCCATTATTTATGTTCATAGTAGTCGTATCTACTACCGAAGAAGGTGTGGTAGTGGTATATACTACAGAAGAAGGTGTAGTAGAGGAATTTACTACCGAAGAAGGTGTAGTGGTGGAATTTACTACCGAAGAAGATAAAGACACAACATGCTCGGCAGTGTAAGACGAATCATGTTCCGGGCATTTATTCACACTGCATCCAGCCTCTGCATCACCTATGAGTGAAGTGTGCAGTTTTTGAGACATCAATTTGTTTTTCTCTGCAAATTCATCCTCCGTGTGAGAAGAACCAGACTCACAATTGGTTGCCTTGGCTGGTGGCACACTATTTTGCATTGTTTTGGCAATATCCAGAAATTGAATCCCAAAATCATAGTTAGGCTTAAATTGAGAAGGTCCACCATTCAGAGCACTGCCCGACTTGCAATCTTCATAAGCACAATTTTGTACTGAAATTTTCCTAGGAGAACCTGTTCCTTGATAGGAAAATTCAGATTGCATTTGATAGCCATTTGACTTTTCAGCTGATTTTTTTGTACTGTTTTCTGTATCAACCAGATAATTCTGGGACTCCTGAATGACAGGACCAAAGCTACTTTCTTTTTTGTGTACATATTCTTGAGACAGGAACGCAGAAGGTCCAAAATAAGAAAAGTGAGAGGCAGAAGCTCCCTTCCAGCAAGGTGAGTCTTCAGCAGGATTGCTTCGGTCACCACCCTCAAAAGATTTCTCAGCAAAATTTCCATCTTCAATAGAACGAAGGCTTAAGCTTAAATTATCAATATTGGCATGACCGCTTTTATATCCATTCCTTCCTCTAAATATATAATCATCAACATTTCTCGAGACGTTCTTGTCTGAAACCATTGCTTTGTTTGACGAGGAAGGTTCATTTCTTCCTAGATGCATACGGATATGACTAGGGTCATAGCAACCAGAGGTTCCAGGACAGGGCATGTAAGAAGCCTCCTTAGTATTAAAGAAATTACTGTGCCCAACAAGTTGATCTGCCATAATATCATCAGTATTCATATCTTTAGTCAACCCCGTTCTTGGCATTGAAGAATTTGAAGATTTATCAACATGTCTTGAGTGTTTGTCGTGCGAAGCAATGTTTGACAGGTTATTGTTCCCTGAATCAGCAACTACTTTCAAAGGGGCCTCACGATGAGTTTCTAGAGACACTGAAGGGGACTGCAGAACAGATGCAACTGAAGATTCAAGTGGCATGGGTATAACGGTTCCCCACCAACTAGATGTATGAGGTGAGTGATTTGAAATTGCAGGCACATTGTATTTTTCCCGATCAATAATATATGAAACCTCATTATTAACAGACTCCTTCACTTCTTGGTTTCCTGCGTTCAATAAAAAAATATCTATTTTCAACATAAAAGATGAAAAATTGACTTCCCAATTACCACCATCCAACTACAATATATTTTCTCATACTTTAAATGTTTTGAAATTTAACTAAAAACAAAATAACATCCACCTACAATATATTTTTCCATACTTTAACTGTTCTGAAATTTAACTTGAAACAAAGAACAGGTCTTCCTGCATAATATTTGTTGTTTAAGATGTGTTTATTCCAAACACATTTTGCAGACTTTCTCGATTGAAACGTCCGCTGACGCAAGACAATAATATACTTAGATAGTATTGTCATCAGCCTACATTATATTACTTTCTCAACGGGCTGTTCAATTTTTTTATCTCTCTTTTGCTCTTGATTAACTATTGTTTTAAAAATGAGAAAGAAAGTGCATATCTGCAAGGAAACTCAGAAATCAGACACACGTTGAATCATCAAAATCCACTTAGCAAAATCTACATCAAGCACAACAAATTGAAAAAAAAAAATACAAGGGAAAACAAAACAAAATACCTTTATTCTGGTTCATCCCTTCTTCAACAACCAAGCCACTGACAATTGTTTCCTTTGAGGAAAGACTTGTGCTCCCAACTCCAACCTGTTTCCCTTTACCACTGCCATTTAACTCGGGAAACTGGTCCCAGGAAACAGTGTTTATACCAGAAAACCCTAAGTCAGGTAAGAAGTTAGCCTCCTCCAGAGAGGGCCAATTGGAGGAGGGAACCCCAGAAGACCAGTGATAAGGTGCCACCGAAGAAGCGTGATCAGGAATTGCAGAAGACACAGGGTACGGTTGGGATTGAACTAGACTTGATCTTGCAGCATAAGAAGGAAAACCCAGAGGAGAGAACTGAGCAGCGGAATCCAATTCTCTAACGGGGTTCGGAAAGAAATCGTACCCGTAAGATTGATAGTGAATTGGAGGCACGGTTTCTGCGGATTCAGTTGAATCCACGAACTGAGACGCTGAACCCAAGAAGTGAGACGACACGTCAGTGGAAGCGTAAGGATTGACACTAAACGGCGCCGCAAAAGCTGATAAATTTGAAGCGGGTGAGACGAAATAGGGACAATCGTGATTCGATCCTGCAACACCCTTCATCGCTTGCAAATTAAGCTGTGATGAACAATCGATCAAACTGCTCCCGACGCACCGCAATTAACAACTGTGACTGGTGATAGAAAAAGAGAACAATTTATAACACAAATTACACGAAAGATGCAAACTGAATTGAAACGATAACATGCAACTAACAGGAAAGGAGATAGCGATAAACGAAGGATTACAACTGCATTTGTAAGTATCTTCACTTCAAATACGGAATTTATTTCAGAACTAAATCAAATAAAATAAAACAATATATTTTTTTACTATTATTATAATTTAATTTTAGATATTTGAAAAAATATTATAGATATATTTAAGATAAAGTTTTTTTCAGTAACTGTTTCCTTTTATTACTAATATACCCCGTTACTTTATATTTGTTTCAATTATTATATTCTCTTTTATTTTGCGAGATATTTTTTAGCGGGTATTATTCAATCGTTTTTGTCATTTAGATTGACCGTCAAGTCAAAATATAATAAAATCTTTACATTCAATTATAGATTTTTCGACTAATTGATTGAAGTGTGACAAAAAATAAATAAATTCACCAAATATTGAATTTTTCAACTCACTTATTGGCTTAATATGGAAGAATCATTTAATCAATTACATGAATAATATATTTAAAAAAATAACTTAAATAAATTTTTTAAAATATATTTATTCTACTAAATATATTTATTGTTTATACATAAAATTTAATAAAAGAAAATAAATTTATCAAATATTATATATTTATTTTTCTCTTTTTTTCATTTATTTTTTTATTTTTCTCTTTTTATATTTATTTTTTTCTCTTTGTTTTTCTCTAATTCTATTTATTCTTCGATTAAAAACAGTATATTGATTTTGATAATATAAATATTTTATTATTTTTAAAAAATAAAAAATATTTGCATGATTTAAAAATATTATAATTTAATATATTATATTTGAGAAAATATTATATAATAAAATTGAGATGTTACCAATATTATTATTATTTTATAATTATTAAAAAACATATTAAGCGAATAAGTGAATTGAAAAATTAAATATATAAACTTTGTTTAAATATATTATTGTTTTGTTTTGTTATTGTTATGATTCTTTAGATTAAATATATAAATACAATCTAATAAAATAATAAAAGTTAAAGAATCATGACTGAAGATTTTGAAACAGAACAAAACAAATCGTTTTATGGGATAAAATCTTCATGAATCCAATAAATAGTAGATTCATGAATCCAATAAATAAATTGGCACAATGTGCGAAAAAATAAATCCTTTCTTATAGAACCTAACTAAACTTTGAAAAATATCTATTCAACTTAAATTATATAGAATAATAATAATGATAATTTTATACATTATCTCAGCAGATTCTATTTTTATTTTTCCTATATTTATAAAATTTTCACATAATTAATATTTATTTACCTGAAAATATATTTTATTTGGATATAACTTGTCTTCCATTTAAAATAGAAGCGTTTGGTCTTCAATTCGAGAAAGTTGGTAATTTTGATTTCATATTAAAATTTATATATTTTTAAATTTTTATTTTGTTCAAATTAAATCTTAGACCTAATATATTAATCTAAAGTACAATGAATTAAGATAAAAGAAACAACAAGAAATAAATGTAAACAAAATTGAAGATGAAGCCAAAATTAAATATTTTATGAAATAAAAAACCAAATGTCTCTATTTTAAGACTGGGAATAAAAATAAGTCAAATAAATAAAAATCAAATTTGTGTTTTAATAATAATTTTTAATAACTATTCGAATAAAATATAATCATTGAATTATGTAAATTTATTTTTATGGCATTTTCATCCGCTAAAATTTTGAGATTTTATTTTTTAACTATAGCATCGTGAGAATTAGTGTTTTTAGTATTATGTGAAGGTTTTTATTAACATTATGATACTTTATATATATATATATATATATATATATATATATATAATTCATTAAAATAATTTATTAAAATATAAAATGTTTTCTTTAAAAATCTTTTTCTTATATATATTCCATAGTATTAAATTTTAAAAAATAAAAATCAATTAACCTAATTTATAATTATTAAAAGTATAACCCTTGCTTTCAACATATAATCATAATAATATTGTTAATAATTTGAATTTTACATATTCAATATGAAGCAACAAACACAATAAATATATGGTCAATCATTATTTTTTTTATCTTTTATCCTTGTATATTTTATCATATAATAACATAGTTACTTTAAACTAATTTAATTTAAAATTGAGAATAAATGATAGTAAATAATATTTTTAATGATATTTTGTACTATTAGACTTATGAATGGTTAAAAATATAAAAAATATATTATAAAATATCTCTTATGAACATAACATTTAGTTCCAATGAATGGTTCTACTTAAAATAAATTCGGATTTTGTATGCAATTATTTTTAAAACTGACTAAAATAGATAAAATTCTAAAAAATGCATCGAAGAAATCGAATTCACCAGTTTAATTATTATTATTATTATTATTATTTTTAGATTTAGGCAGAAGTTGTGACATAATTTATATATAAATTTATATAAAAATAATACGATGTAATATGATTTTTGTTATTATATTATAATAATTATTATATTATTATAATTAATGATAATATTTTTATATGATTAAGAAAATAAATAATAATAATAATAATAATATTTATATTATTATTAAAATTAATAATTATCATATTATTTCATAGTAATAATATAGATAATATTATTATTAATTTTATTTTTAATTGTAATAATAATAATAATAATAATTAAATTATATGATAAAAAAATATTATTATTATTATTTATAATAATATAATAGTTATTAATAATAGTATTACTTATTATTAATTATATTAATAATAAAATAATATTTATAATTGCTATTAATTATATTAATTAATATAAATATGTTTATGATTATTTATTTTATTATTAATTATAATTAAAATAATATGAATAAAAAATTGTGAATGATGATGTTTCTCTAGAGGTCAATTTTTAGTTTTTAAAAATAGATTTGGGCTCCAAGAATTTCGGTTTAATCCATGATATGGGTTTTGGTTTCTTCTCTCATATATTTTATATTTTTTACTTTCTTTATTTTTATGCATTTGTGTAAAAAAAAAAAAAATTTAATGTTCAACCTGATTGAAATATCTCTTACATTTAGTTATCACATAATTTTATTAAAAAAATACATAAATAAAATAGATAACAGTTAAATATATTTAAATTATTATTATTATAAGTTATAATAATATTAATTTTAATGATATAATTATAATAATTATTAGAATATAATAATTAAAGTAATATGAAATTATTATTTTATTATTATTATAAATAATACTAAAATATTTTTTATATATTTTAATTATAATTATAATTAAAATAAAATAAATCATAATAAGAATATTTACACAATTAATATAATAATAATATTAATTATTTTAATTATATTATTTTATTAATAATAATAATATTATTTTAATATTATTAATAGTAAAATAATATAATAATTATTAGTTTTAATAATAATAATAATATAAATTAATTATTATTATTTATTTTATTAATAATATAAAAATTAATATTATGAATTATAATAACATAATAATAATAATAATTATTAATTATAATCATATAATAATAACAATCGTATTACATAATATGACTTTTTTTTTTTCTAAAAAAAACGTCTTATGAAATACAATTTCTTCATAGTGAAGTTATGCTTAGTAATAGTTACTAATGTTCGTAATTTTAAAAAAATGTACTCAGTACATTCTTAACAAAATTTGCACCATTTTGATATAAAAACCAAAAAATTCAATACCATAGAAACTCTTTATCATTTTGGTTTTAATGTCATGTTCTATCATCATTCCTACCCCCTCGTAGTCACCACTTCATTTTTTATTTATCAAGCCACCAGTCAATATTTATAAAACTGGACTGGTTATTGAACAGGGAACACATATGTTCATAAATTCATTAATAACATGTTTTTTTAAATAATAATAAATTATTATTATGATTATGGTAAGTTATAATTAATATTATAAATATAAAATATATTAAAAAATATAAGATGATAATTAAAATAAAAATATAATAAAGTAATTATAATTTAAAGTTTACATAACTAATATAAATAAAATAAATTATATTTTTTTATAAAAAATATATTATTTGTTAATCATTTTTTTTAATTTAATTAAAATTTAATCATTTAAAAGTAACGTACCAATTTCCAAACAAATTAAACCTGTTGAAGACATTAATCACATTACATTTCTCCTATGGGCTTGCTCCATTGCAGAAAGAAATTTGGTTGCATCCATTAAAAAATAAAGCTCACATCTCAATCACTCTTCCTCCATCAAAAGTTATGATGATTTTTTTTAATGTACCAATTATTGCTTTATATTCTGACAATGGGATAAGTTTAACTCATCTTTTTATCCTCAAATCAGAATGAAAAATAGATTAGGGCTAAATTCTAAATCCTAAAAAAACGATATAATACTTTTACTTTTCTAGTTATTTTGATCCTTCGTTTACTTTATCATTCCAGCTATTTAAAATTAAATTATTAATTATTTTAATACCTAATTTTTTAATTTTTTTAATAAAAATATTAATTAAAAATAAAAACTTAAAAATTATTCATATAATTAAATATATATTTTAAAAAATTACATATAAAATAAAATTATTAATAAATTGATTCACTTAGAGATAGATTAACATTTATGATCTATTTAACTATGAGGGATAATTCTATCTCTTTATATTCTTAACGGATTAAGAGTTACATCTGACAATTCGCTGTGGTACCTTAAAGTTGGGATGTTTACGACAATGACAATTTTTTTTTTTCTTTCTTAATTTTGTAATTGTTAGCTTCCACTTTCTTTGGGTTGATTTCATTTTTTTTGAAGGATAGAAAATAAAAAGTAATCAA